ATGTTGTCATGATAATGTTTGGCTAAATCTGTGATTTCGATTGTCTGAATGAATATCAACCCAAAAGTGAGGAGTGTGAGAGTTCGAATGTTATCCTGCTCTGGCAAAATTGGACTTAAACTGAGAGTCCTGGAAAATTATTTGCCTTACTTCACGAACTTTTAAGATGACCACTGCATTTTTGATAACTATAAACCATATTGGAGTGCTTAGGTGTCCCCATTGACCAGTTCGCTGTTTAATAGGGTGATTCCGTTCCACCCGGTGGCGGGTAAGTTGACCTTCGACTAACATCACGCAGAATGGTTCACCGGGTCACGATTAGTCTCCTTATTGGATAAATAGACCCTAAAGCCACAGAAATGTATCTTGCACCATGCCGAACTAACAAGCACGGTGCGTTCTATTGAACTCACATGCGTGAGTGCGACATCGATCGTCCTTGATTTGTTCATTCTTCATACATGATTTTTCTCGTGTAACCGAGTTGGAACAAGCAAGAACATAATCACTGACTCATTTATTATTGCTAATTAATCCAGATTAGCTTCTTGTTTTTTTTGAACCAAATGAACGAGGGAGGGGGGAAGTTGACGTTTTTGCGCGCACAAAATGACATCAATTTCTTTGGTTTTACAATCGTTGATTCCACCCCAAATGCCAAACATGATAAAGGCTCTCTCGGATCATTTTCGTGCAAGAAGGAACTGAACTAGTTCTGCCAATTCACACGTTGTTTGGTCATCTGATTTCTTTCAAACAAGAAGAACCCAAAAAAGATCACAAAATGCATTTGTGCTACCAGAAATGCGAAAGTATGATGTGTTTATCACGGTTCAATGCGCAAGACTACGTGGATCAAACGGTAGCGGACACTGCAAAGCTACCTCGGTGGTAACGTCAGCAAATTATCACCCCAGAGGAAGTGTATTCCAATTCTACCACCACCACCGCCACATGACTTTTCCCATTCTCTGTGTTCTGATTGACCGCTTCCCTTTGCCTCAAAATGGTATCATTGTATATTGAATTAAAGGAAGTAAAAATGAAAACGAAAAAATTGTTGATTGTTCTCGGTGCATAGAATAACTAGTTGTATTTTGTGAACAGATGATTTGACCAAATATTTAATTTAGCTTTGGGGTTCGTGTTTGCTGTGCATAAATAGAAAACCTTATTTTAACGTTACATCAAACTAGGAATACTAAGTTAACCACAAAGTGGTGATTCGTAGTGAGCAGTCGGCAATTAGAACTGAACAGTTCCCTTATCCTATTGGGGAATCGTCAGTAGTACGTATTATTTCGCATCCCCGACAAGGATGAATGGAAAAGGTAAACAATCCGAACAACTTGGTCTTGTCTGAGACCCCCTCCCTCCCTCCCCCGAGTACACTAAGAGTAAAACTCTTTCCATTTACCAGTGGTGGCATTTCCAACTTGAGGAGGGGGAATGGGCCAGATGGAATTGCGTCCAGTAGTCCAGTTTTGCACCGAACAGCAGCCTCAAATGTTACCGCCATCAAGATTTTACTAATTATTTACACTAAATGGAACCTCGGAAATTTTATCTGCACTCGAGGCCCCAAAACATGGACGGACAATAACTGGATCCTGAAAGTTAGACGAGACTCAAGCGAATGGCTAGTGAGATTAAGTTGTCCGGTTTGCGAACAATCAAGTATGATCCTTCATCTCGCCCCGGTTGATTTTTATCTGACCTTAGATGAGCTGCAAATTTCCGAGCCTCGAATTTTCATACTGCAGTGAGGTACTTGTTGGTATGTGCAAAACCCCAGATTCTAGTGACGCTTCTTCGAACAGGTACATTTTACCAAGCTATTCCGCCAAATACGTCGAAGACAGTTTGCCGGAAACCGCCGAAAAGTTTCTACCTCCTTAACTTCCTCCAATGGAATTTTTCAAACTACCATACTATCTTCATGCCCATTTATTGTCTATTCATCCCAGAGGCCGAAGTTTTTCAGTTCCTCAACAAGAATTTGCACTTGTTGCATCGTTTTTGGGAAACCCCTTTCGGATGACGCCATCTTGTCTGCTATGCAAATTCACAAACTATCTAACCGGATTTTAGTGCATAAAACGATTTCTAGATCCCTTAGCGTGCACACGAGTCCCGTTCTCCTCAAAACAATAGCTTGTAATACAGTCAAATATTGGCTCCTATAATGCTGATAAATGATGAATCTCTGCCTTCAGTGCCACCGGTCAAAGAAATTTGATGACATAGGCAATATACATTATATTTACTGCTCTTCTTGGACACTATGATGAAAGAAGAGGACTGCGACCGCAAATTAGTTCTTTGAAGCAATTTATGCATTGACATGGCGAGTGGAACCACACACCTTTCAGCAAGATCTGCAAATGTTCCCGTTTGAGCTACACCGGTCGAAGAGTAGCACCTCAAATAGGTTAACCTGGCAATTCAGTTGTTTCCACTAGTAAAATTCGTTTGAAACACGGAACACCACTAATCACAATGCACCACGTTATTAGAGTACATTTTAGTAGATTCACTAGCTCGCAGTCACGGTCCTTTTTGTACAAGTCGTGACCCACAATGCCGACAGGTCATAATTGCATCAGTCGACTGAGTACAGTCAGTAATGCCCAAGTCTCCATTCCAGTGACAGTGAACTGTTTTGAAGTAGGGAGTGTTTCAACGGTTCGTGATTTGTTTGCCGCGAGTGGACACAAGTGTGTAGTGACCGTTACAGAGGAGACAAATAGAAGAATGACACTTGCCGATTACATTGACCGTTCGGTGACGTGAAACGTAAATTTACTTGTATATTTTTCCATACCGTTCGTCCGAATTCAACCCTAACTCACAACAGAAGATTCCGCACAACTCCTGTGTGCATCTAGGACAGGGTTTTACCTCTAACTGTGTGGATGCAGGTTGGCATAAAAAACCAGTAATACAGCTTGGTTACGTAACAGAAAACCCTTCGGTTCACAGAAGTATCTAAATAAACGCTAACAATCACGTGTGTTGTTTGGGTGGACTCTCCAACCCCCACGAATAATTGAACTTTGATCGCATTTAAATTATTTTTTGTCGCAGTGATTAAACGTTATGCCACAATAGTGCTGTGCTTTGGATAGACTTCGAGCAGATAAGTCTGATTAGATATGACGTGTACATATACACACACACAGCAGGCAAGCAGAATTGTCCAAACGGTAACCTCGGATTCGTTAGGCTATTCGGACACGTAGTCCATTCCTCAGCTGTGACTGACTCATTGGTGGCAGGAATCCACGGGAGACATTTATCACACATTTGGTTATGTACAACGGAACACGCGTGAGGGTGACCAGCCACAAAAAGACAGAAATGTATTTTGTAAATCGGCTAAAAACTGCACGTTTTAATTTAGGTTCAATGTAGACTTAGAAGTGTACTTTGATTTAGTGACTGAAATAAAATTTTGTCTGTTTGATTCCCTAGTCTTTCTCATTAGTGTTTCCAAAAAGTGCTCCCAGTAATTTACCGGCAATAGTGGGGAACCCACCGCTTCATGTTAGACAGTCCTTTATTCGTACGTCATTTTTTCCGCTGGGAAGATGTGCTTTGAAAGCTACAGTGGATTATATCTGACGGAATAGTGCTCCATTAAGTTTCTCCGGTGAGCAACTCAATCCGGGCATGAAAAGGACAATAATTCACTCATATCTCAGTGCACTTCAGAGTTAATTATGGGTGTCCCACAATGGGATTCTCAGTCGCGGTCCAGACGCGGCTAAAATGCGCACACAATCCCATTCGGTTTGCGACAGTTGTTCTGGACCCCCGGTGAATACACGGGATCGAGTTGAACACCGCTATACATGAAATGTCACAACCGGGGCGCGGTAACTTGTAGCAACAGGGGGATGGAATGCGATGAGGAGGACCTGAAACCGGTAAGTCATTTTAGTACATTTTTAAAACTTTCAACATTTGATCATCCCTACACACACATAATTGGAGGTCACATGATGTCTCTGTTGCTGCAACACTTTGACTATGCTACGTTTTGTGTGAGCGCAAATAACCGCCCATTTTCACCACCGCCCTCTCACAGCTGTCATCCTAGATGTCAGCGTATTGGGAGCATGTCGGTGTGTGTTTAACTTGTAGAACATAGCAAATGTTCGAACACACTCAGTTCTGAAGACTTTTCATCCTTTTGTTTCCCTCAACAACAAAGTGTTCATGACTCTGTCCGAGGATTCCTTTCGGAAATTTCGTGGGTAACAGCCAATTTATGATTATTGTGTCAGTGAATGCTTTTCCAATGGTGAACAATTCACATTAACCAATGAATTAACCGGTTAGAACCAATAAATTATTCGTTGTTTACATATTTTTTGAAGTTTATTGAATGTACTACTACGTTTGGGGACCGAAAACCGGTTCCCATATGTGACTCCTTCAGCTGGGTGATCAAGAGGCTCAAATCAATTATAATTGACAGTGAACTGAACCAGTTTGGAAAACTTTCTCTGGAAAACCGGCGAAATAGATTGAAGTATACAAATTGCTTAAACTGTTTACCCATGCTATCTACTCGGAGGAAGGAGGGTGTGGTAATGCAGTGGAAAAGCGCATCTAAACAGAGATCGCAAATCATTCACTGGGAAATAGAGAAGGGGATGGCAAAAAGTAGACACAAGTATGACCTACCTAGGTAAGTTGAAATTAAAAAAACAGTGCACCAAAGGGATTAAAACATGAAATCAGCGAGATAAATTGATCAGTCAGTTGGATGATCCGTCCGATCCCATTATGAACACACTTTGAAGTTGCTAGTATTTTTGTTTCCGCTCAGAATCTCCCATTTAGTGTACATACCATGGAAAGTTTAGTGTAGTTTACAGTTTGGCGAGCAAGACCACTGATTGTATTTAGCCTGACCTTAGATGCTCACTGCTCTTCACGGATAATAACCGGTTTAGCCAAAGAAAGCCTTTCATGCAACCCCCAAGGTTTTATACCTCACCCAGATCAAAATGAGGACTTACTTTAAATTGAAACTGTCTAGGTCCTTGATCATAGTCCAGCGGCTTGATCACACTGATTCGCCCGGAATCCCGATCCACCCGGAAATACTCCATCGCAGTGGACCGATCACATGGGCAAAAATCAAAGACAAGTTTTGCATGTGGACCTACATCTTTGTCGGTCGCATTCAGTTGAATAATCAAGCTACCCACCGGGACAGTTTCACGAATAGTCCCAGATGTGGGGCGATAGACTACCAGTCCGATGTCGGCTCGATTCAAACGGCCCAGACCACCACCACCACTACCGCCACCCATATTGGGATTGTGATAGAGATCATTGTGAAATGCCGGGGCATGATCATTGACATCAATGACGTGGATCAGCAGATTCACACTGCCAGTCTTGGGAGGTAGACCCATGTCAGTAGCCAAGAGTGTTAGATTGAAGAGGCCACCACGACCGGCAAAATCCTCAGTCTCTCGATCCAACGGCACAATCGGTCGTATCTGCAGAGGACTGGAGCGAACGATGACTGGAGAAGGGTGGGGCAAATAACCAGCCATTTTGTTTGATAAATCCATTTCATCCATGTTTGGTTGTGATCCGTCCTCGAGGCGGAAGTATTCTGCCCCCGGGCCCAACAAACGGTAGACTATACTACTATTTAAACCTAGATCCGGATCCACAGCTCTATCAATGGTTCGTGTATTTTTTGCCGCTGAGTCATCCAGTACATTTGAACCAGTCCCTGACGAGGAGACTGGACCTGAACCTAAGGGGTTCCACGCAAAACCAGCATTGGGTGTTTCCACGAACCCAATTTCTAGCTGGGACCCTTGAGTCCACATAGGTGCGTTATCGTTGATATCGCGAATTACGAGTCGAATGAGAATCCGCGAAGTGCGCGGTATTCCATCTATTGTATTGCCGTGTCCACCACCAACACTTGGTCCGGTAGCCTCTTTCCCTCGGGAAACAAGTAAGATATTCAACGTCTGGACGCAATCTGCCACACTCTGGGTAGATTCGAGCTTCGGACTGAGCAAAGCTGACGTGGGGAATAAGTCCGGATTTCCAGGGCCGGAGACCAGGTTGTTGTGATTCGTGTTCGTGTTTGCGTTTGGACACAGAGCCTCCCGATCGATACGAGCTCGAACACGAAGCTGACCGGTGGTTGGATTCAAGCTGACCAAACGAGAAACACCATCGTCACCGAGTAACTGATACTGTACATCCGCACCTGCTTTCAATTCAGTCAAAAATTCTGCCACACCGTGAATTATAGTTCCAACAGGGCTTTCTTCGATAACCTCTGCACGAAATGTGCCATCGCCGGTGACAGACAGCACAGAAGTAAGAAAGTAGAGTGCAAAACAGATCACGAGCCACAAGTGACTAATCCAGCTTGCAACAGAGCTCATAATGATTGATCAAATCTAATCAGTTTGTTGTACAAAAAACGATAAAATGACGATATTTTAGCACGTGTTTTGCGGAGGAGCTGCGTGATTCAAGCTGACACTTTCGGTGCTGATGGCATCTCCGTTATCCACGCTACACACGCCGCATTGTGTTTTTTGGTGTAGGAATTGACCCGGGAGCAAGGTGGGCAAACCAGGCCAAATGCGGAACCACATTCCGAAAATCCGAAGCAGGTGTGTGAACCAGCCAGCCAACCAAACAATCAACCAACCATGATCAGACCACAATCTGATTGGCGCACACGCACACAATCTCCGCCATAGGTTAACTTGTACACACCAGCATACATCTGGACATAGATAGATACACACACACATGCTAGCACAGCTGTGGACGAAAATGAGGTTGCTGTGTCTATGATGTCGAAGTGGGCAGCCGAACTCATTTGTAACCGTCTAAATGGTGTGTATGTGTGCATATGTGCACGCACACGAGTGCGAGTGCGTACGTATCGGCAACATGTGTATTTGTGACCTGACCGAGCACCGACGCATAGTGTGCAACCCGGGCTTGGTGTGTCACGTGTGTTTCTATATGTGTGCAGAGGGTATTCACGCTCAACGGTGTGCGTGTGTGTGCGCGTGTGGGGAGCATTCGGTTTTAGTGCCGGCAAACGAAACCAACCGCGGTCGGGACTTCAGACAGTTACTATAGCTAAGTGGTTGCGCACAAAATCGTACGCTTCACATGCACACTGTGAACCCGTAAATGAACTGGACATCACATTTTGAGTCAGACATGAGAGGTGATAAACGGTTATGGGGCTAAATTTCCCCATCGATGGCGAATAGCACCAGGAAGCGAGACCAGGGATGATTCCACTGATTTCCGAGTATGACTGGAAAAATGTGAATTCGTTCTGGTGGAAGCGCTGCCTCGTTTTTCGAACATCGCCGTCAAACTGCAACCATGGTGTGAATTGATTGGTAACTTCGTTTTAATGATTTGCCCTAGAAACAGTAAATTAGCCAATCGATTGAATCACAGTAAGATAGAATATAAAATCCGATAGACGAAACAAACTGTTTTTCGGTAAATTCATCAACTGGTCATTTACCTTTATATAGGTAGAGCATTCAATATTGTTTGATCCAGTGCGGGATGGATCTAATTACCCTATTTACCGAGCGATACTACGTACGTCAGCAGTTTGATGGAGCTTCCCCTTGGTTACGATCTTCTTCCAGTTACTACGTTTGTGGCTTGGCGAATGGCCAGGGTAGAGATAATGCCTGGACGAAACGGGTCAAACAGTTTGATTGCAATAGTATCAGCCGTGCACAAAGGATAAAGCATACTGATTTAAAGGATAAGGTGAAATACGATAAACGGTTCTGTGCGCTCGACTGATGCCCAATTGGTGCTTACTTTCGAGTAGGTTTTTGCATATAGCGCTTTTCGCTGTCCTCGTTCCTTCACGTGCCAACCATCGAGGGTTGTGCTTCTTCATTCTCTTTTATAGTTATCTTGTCGTCCGGTCTTTGTAGCTCGTTCCGCAGAAACAAGTTAACAAGTAGATGCACACGAAGGTAGCTCGAGGGGGTATCTAAATTTGAGATGGAAATGAATTGCAGACGATGTGAAGAAACTGATGCACAGTGCTACCGTGATGAATGTTCTACTTAGAGT